CCCCCCCCCCCCCTTAAAGGAAGGCAGTTGAAAAGGGACCCCGGGGGGGGGGCGGCGGAGGCGGCGGCTCTGCCTGTGCTAAGGAGCAAGCCATTGGACGCCTTTACCCTTCTTTCAGCAGCTCTTTTGTTTCTCCTCGTCTCGCGCCTCCCCCCCTGGAGCAGGAGTGAACACTTTGCGGGATTTCTCCCCGCTTTTCCCGGGCATGAAAGTGGCGGGCACGCTGCAAGGCTGCCTTCTCTTCTCTCCGCATTCCCTTCCGTCCATCTTGAATACTTGAGATTCTTGAATGGAGCATGTGGGATCCGCTCCGCGCGCTTCCATTGGCTGCCCGTTAACCCTTCGGACCGGAGCTCCGTGGCCTCATTGGACGCCGCCGGTGTGTTCCTCTCCCCACCCCGCCCTTAGTTGTGTCTGACTCTTTGTGACCCCATGGACCAGAGCATGCCAGGCCCTCCTGTCTTCCACTGCTTCCCGGAATTGGGTCAAATTCGTGTTGGTTGCTTCGATGACACTGTCCAACCATCTCGTCCTCTGTCGTCCCCTTCTCCTCTTGCCTTCACTCTTTCCCAACATCAAGGTCTTTTCCAGGGAGTCTTCTCTTCTCATGAGGTGGCCAAAGTATTGGAGCCTCAGCTTCAGGATCTGTCCTTCCAATGAGCACTCGGGGTTGATTTCCTTCAAAATGGATAGGCTTGTTCTCTTTGCAGTCCAGGGGACTCTCAAGAGTCTCCTCCAGCACCACAATTCAAAAGCATCAATTCTTCGGCGGTTGGACTTTTTTATGGTCCAGCTTTCACTTCCATATATCACTACAGGGAAAACCATAGCTTTGACTATGCAGACTTTTGTTGGCAGGGTGATATCTCTGCTTTTTAAGATGCTGTTGAGGTTTGTCATCACTTTCCTCCCAAGAAGCAGGTGTTTTTTAAATTTTGTGGCTGCTGTCTGCAGTGATCATGGAGCCCAAGAAAGTAAAATCTGTCACTGCCTCCATATTTTCCCTTTCTATTTGCCAGGAGGTGATGGGACCAGTGGCCATGATCTTAGTTTTTTTGATGTTGTGCTTCAGACCATTTTTTGCACTCTCCTCTTTCACCCTCATTAAGAGGTCCTTTAATTCCTCACTTTCTGCCATCAGAGTGGTATCATCTGCATATCTGAGGTTGTTATTTCTTCCGGCAATCTTAATTCCTACTTGGGAATTAAGGGTCAGAACTCCTATGAATGAGCGATCTCTAAAATGTCCTGCCCTCAACAGTGCAGTTTACCTCTTGCAGACTCAAGCCTGTAGCTTCCTTGGGAATCAATCCATCTCTTATTTGGGCATCCTCTTTTTCTGATGCCTTCTAGTTTTCCCAGTCCTTTTCCAAGAATCTTGCCTTCCCATGATGCACCCGAAGTACGACAGTCTCAGTCTGAGCATTTTTTCCTACAAAGTTAGTTCAGGCTTGATTTGATCTAGGACCCATTTGTTCATCTTTCCAGCAGTCCAATGTATCCACAAAGCTCTCCTCCGGCAACATCAAATGAATCATTTTTCCCCCTCAGCTTTCTTCACTGTCCAGCTTTCACAATCATACACAGTGATCAGAAATAGACGTGTGTGGATGGTCTTGGTCTCCAGTGACGTCCTTACACTTGATGATCTTTTCTAGTTCCTTCGTTGCTGTCCTTTCAAATCTTAGTCATCTTCTGAGTTATTGGCTGGATTGGTTATTGAACCAAAGTATACAAAATCTGTTAACTATTGCAATTGTCAGTGTTAAAGTTCTGTAGTTCTTCTGTAGCCATGATTTTGGTTTTCTTAATGCTCAATTGCAGTTCTCCTTTGGCACTTTTTTCTTTCCCTGTCATTAAAAATCCTTTCAAGTCATTGCTGCTTTCTGCCAATAAGATGGTATCATCTGCTGAGCTTTCTGAGGAAGTGGACTTGTCCACAAAAACTCACATTAAAATAAAGCAGTTAGTCTTTAAGATGCCACAATGTTTTTGTCTTCTTTATTTTTTATTTGTTTTTGCCATGGCAGTTGCTGAAAAATTGCATCCAGAGTTCTAACCCTTTATTTTTGCTTCTCCTCTGTCCTTTACAATGTGAAGTATTTATTCCATCATCCATCTAGGTTTTTCTTTTCTTCTTACTACAGGAATTGTCTTCTTGCATTCTTCCCTAATAATATATTTGGTCTCAATTCACAGTTCTTCTGGTTCATAGTCAATTGAGTTTAGTAATGCAAATCTGTTCCTTATATGAGCTTTAAATTCATCAATTCTACAATTATTTTGGAGTTCTTTTTCAGCTTTACACTAATGTTGGAAAGATTAGGTAGGATTAAGTTCATACCAGGGCATTTCTACATGCCAATCGTTAGTACAAGCCCCCTCCTAATTAATTTGCTCTCAGTCCCCATCACCAGTGTTCTGAATGTAACCTCATACTCCCTCAAGTTGTGTTTCTTCCTCCTATTAAGAACCTGCAGCATTGTCTTGTCAGCTGCATATGGGTAAAGGAATCGACAATTGCTGCTATTGCTATGGCCCCCAATAGCTGCATACCAGGGGAGAGATTGGTAAAGAATAGAAGAAATGAGTACAAAGTAAAATGTAAGAGAAATCTTTGTTTTGCCTACTCCACACAGTGTATATTTAGGTGTGCTGCTTATAACTGTACTGTTCATATAGTGCTTGAAGCAGTCTCTGGGTGGCTTACAATTCATCGTGACCCAGGTAAGGAAGCGGGTCCCCTGGAAAAGCCACAGCTGCAGCGCTGCCTGAAGGATAAATGGACGGACGGGGGCTGGCTTGGGCAGAGATCAAAAGGAGCCGATATACTGTATTCCCAATGTTCTCCCTCCCCACCAGTTCTCCTCCTGCTCAGCCACACTG